GGGGGGCAGTGTGAGACATCTGCCGGGTGTGGCCGCAGAGTAAGGATTACTGACTGGAAACTGAGTTTCATAACACAGAATAGCTGTAGCATCTGCATGTCCCAGCAGAAGGGGCTATTAGGGAAGTCCAGGCTAAGAAGTTCAAAATACCCGACACTCTCTACAGCAATGTCTGGGGATAAAATTGCCGTTCCTGGAAAAGAAATGTTCTCAGTGAACACTTTTAACCCTTTACAGCAAGACCTAACCCTCAGTCTACCTGAAGTACCCTTTGATGCCTATCACCTCTGTCTCCTTTTATACCTAATGTCCCCTGGGACCAGTCCTCCAGCTAAGCAGTGTAAAAGCAGCAGTGAAGAATGTGTCCTTACGAAAACCAATACAAAAGCAAAAATGACGAGAGAGGCGAGCGCAGTGTAAATGTCAGAGCAAAAATCCCAGGGAGGCCCGCCAACTCAGTGAGGCAGCAGAGCGTGACAGCAGGGGAATTCGGGACAACAGTCCTGGTAATGCTGACGGGACATAAACAACAGGGGATAAGGCAACAGAATAAAGATCCAGGACAGCTGCAGTCAGAAACCATGGAGCTAAAAAGTCTATAGCTGAGTTTAAAAATCTAACCACGGGTCTTCATAGCAGACAAATTGAGGCAATAGAGAATTATAGATGTGAAAATAGAATGTTGGAGAACACAAGACTAGACCAAAGTAGAGGAAACGGAACGAAAGCAGCATCAGAGCTCTCTTGAACAACTTAAAGAGAAGTAATAGCCATATCATGGGACCCCAGAAGGAGAAAAGAGAAAAGCATAGAAAATCGATTTAAAGAAACAATCGCTGAAAACCATCTCAGTGTGGGGAATGAACCAAAGCTGTGACCCAACAGGCCCAAAGAATTCCAAACAAAATACTTGTGCACAGACACATCATAATCAAACTGCTGTGAACCAACGATAAGAACAAAATATTAACAATAGCTAGAGGGGAAAAGGCAGCCTACGAGGGAACACCAGTTGGCGTATCAGCACATTTTCAACATCAACATCACAAGCGTGAAGAGGCTGGAAAAGGATAAAGTATTTAAGAAAACAACTCTGACCCAGAATCCTCTACGCAATCAAGACCGAAGGAAGAGTCAGGAACGTCACTGTAAAGCAAGAGCTGAAAGAAACTGAAGCAACAGAACACTGAATGTCCCCGCAAAGGTCAGCAATGTCACTTACACAGAGGAGAGAGGGTCAAGGGCAGTGTGGCCCACGAGAGCCTGCCAGAGACCAGACCGGCAACTGGACAGCAAGCAGGCCATCGGGTAACTGCTTCAAAAGAACTGAAATATCTCGGCAGCAACCAAATGAGGGAGTTAGAGATGGTAAGGGGTGATGTGGTTAGAAAGCCTACACTTGGGGGAGGAAAATGGGGGAGCCAAACAAGGGAGCAAGGAAAAAAACAGTAACAATGAGCAACAAAGCAAAAATAAACAGACAACCATAAATGAGAGGCACTCTGCAGGGGAAGTGGGCACAGGGACCAAACAGGTGGGCGGGGAGCAAATGGGGCAGGGCTGAGTTGGTGGTGGGAATTCTACGGGCGCTACACCTGAAAAAAGGACGCAAACATTGTAAAAAATAAACAAAGATGTAAAATATATAAATATATATATATATATACACGCACATATATACATATATATACACACACATGCACATGTGTATACATATATGTGTGTGCATGTATTATATATATACGTAAAAACTAAAATCAAATGGACGTAGATTTAAAAGGAAAAGTCGTGGATGTCGGGAATCTATGGATGGCAGAAGCCAGGATGAAAATGACCCAGTTACAGAAACACGTGGGAGACGTACATGTCAGCACTGAACCAGATGAAGTGTCCCACGAACAAGGTAAGGTAAAAAGGAAAAAGAGACAACACAGCAAGAGAGAGAACAGGTGGCGGAAGAAGGGGGTGGGGGAGGAGAAGAGGGAAGAAAGGAAGGAGGGAGGGGAGAGAGACGACTTGCAACTCACACCGACCTTCAATCAGGCAACTGTTTGATGATTCATTTGGGCAGGATAAAAGTACTAAAGTTACAAAGAAAAACCGAAGGAGGGGTGGCCGGAGGGCTTGGAGCTCAACAACTCATTTTTCTTTTCGCGATAAATCACCGAACCTAGTTGTTTTCACGATTCCACAGTACCTAAGAGGCCGTGAAATGGTTCACTCCATTCGTTTCTCATACTCCCTCTGGGGTGGGAAGGGGAAAACTTCCCCGTCTATTACAAGCCCAGCCTGCAGCGAGCGCAGGGTTTATATGGAGAAGCCCTTAAGGAGTCCACCTGTATTGAAAATGAGAGTTCAACTTTTAATCGTGCGGCAAGATGGGGCAAGTCTTCCAGTGGGTAAGTTTCCACAGTGGTGCTTCAGCAGGTTAAAGATCTTTGGAAAGACGGATCTGGAGACGGGGCTCAGGCTTGAGAGAATTTTAAGCCCACCTACTTTTTTTGCATCCAAGGCTGTGACACTTCTGGGGGGACTGACTATGGCGCTGGGGATCACAGCTTGACAAGCACTCTGTGCGTGCCTCCCTGTACACTGTCTCTCCCGGACCCGACACTCTCCCTCCTTCCAGACACAGGGCTCGCTGAGAGGAAAGTAAAGCTGTCGCCTCCCTTCTGAGTCAATAGTAATCAATAGAACAATCTGTTACCTTCATGTTACACCTATAAGCCAACCAGAACAAGGTTTTCTCATTCATATTGTGCCATTGAACCAAAAAAAAAATCATTAAACTATTTAGTCCAATTGCAGTCTTCAATATACTCATTCATCACTTTTTCTTTTTTAACCTTTTATTACAGTGAAACCTTCGAGAAAGTATTCATTGGAATTAACATCTTAAATATTTCTTTAAATTTAAAAGGGGATGCTCCTGAAAAATAACCTAGATGTGTGTTCCTGCCCTCACCTGAGCGATGGTTCTGTCAGGACAGCAACACCTGATGAGGAGAAGGCGTCTGAAGCAGTCGAGGGACTTATCGTAGGCATTGGGGAGAGGTTCTTCCTCAGGATTTTCCTTATCAAACCAAATTTTCCACATTTTCTCATTTCTTGCTATCTGAAACAACAGGCAATAGGAAGTGTGTCACAGCACAGAAAAAACCTTCCAACAGTAGCTCAGATATTTTTCTTCCAACCTTCTGACCATTCCAGACATGTACAGATGACAGTTCTTAGCTATTTTTTTTTATTCTAGTGCTAAAATGTTTGAGAATCCAAAATCAAATGCGATTTGCTCTAAAGTCAGTCTGTATTTAGGTCAACCCACAGTTACACCCCAGAGTAAGATGATTCCCAGGTTCTTCAATTTCCCCTATGCTTTTGTGGTAACACATTTGAAAAAAGTAAAGAAACCACAAAAAATTTATTCTAATAATTTACAGAAATCTTATCTGCCCCATGAAATCCTGCACTATCAGGAGCCAAGTCTTATTCACTGACATTCCCTCACCTCCAGGCCACTACTGCTACATCGAATACATGTTTATTACTGAAATAAAAGCATTTTGGTCAATACTCTATTAGTGTAATTTGAAATACACCACTTTATATCATCTTCAAATGATTAATCAGACAGGTTTCCTCTAAGCAACTGATAAAGAGGAAAAGACACGCTATTATTCTTTAAGCCTTAAAAAACCAAAGAGAGATAAGCATTACAGCTCAAAGACATAGAAAGCAAATTTTGTGTACAGATAAATAAATGTGTGGACTCTGGTGTATTCCCTTGATTAAAGCCCAAGTATTCTTTTTTAGAGGCCTAGTCAAAGGGAAACTATTCCAGAGTCATTAGAAGGTATCATGCAAGAATGAAAATAACGATCAGGAAATAACATGAGGGGCTTCAGACGTAAGCTACCAGCTCCAGGAATCAGCCACTACAGTCACAACAGGCCAGGACATGGTGCCAGAAGTCACCCCTGGAGGACTATATCATGCACTAAAATCTCCCAGATTCAGGGCCCCCACGGCATATGTATGGCAAGGTCTGGGAATGCCTACGTGGCAGGCACGGTGCAGTAACGCACGCCTGAATCAGAGACAAGTAGAGAGCCAAGGCTACCCTGACACGCAAACAATAAAAATAAAAATAACATAAAGGCTTCCATATGAAAGTTCTTTAATCCAGAAGAATACTCTGTACCCTCATTACATGACAGAAATATCAAATGCCACCAGTTGTTAGCTAAAGCATAAAAGTAACAAAGAACGTAAGCTTCTGGGCCACTGAAGCTGGGGACGTCAACCTTCAAATACTTTCTGGCTGTCAAAGCCTCCCCTTTGTGATTCAATAAAGCCCCTGGACCCTCAATGCTGCAGCTCTCTGGTCTGTTCTCTGGTTTGTCTTACTTCAGTTTCCTCTACCCAACTTCCATGATACCAACATACACCCCGTTTATCAGGACATGACGGATGATGGAGGAAGAATAACTTCCAAAGACAGATACATCCCAGTTGTCCACCCAGGGCAGGATACCAAGAGGGGCAGGAGAGGAAGAAGAATCAAAGACAGGAAGGAATGGTCAGTGTTCGGAAGCTGCTCGAAAGTATTTTCGTTGAATCTCTAAAAAGAAGGTCGTACCTCACAAGCACATCTAATTATTTAATGCAATGGAATCTCTACGTTTTTCCACTGTGGGTCTGAACAGCGGACACTGACATAGTGCTCTGGCATTGTTGGCTCAATTTCTGGGCAAATAAACCTGTCTCCCATGAATACTGTAGCTAGTGACAAGTCAAGAAGCTATAGGCCGCAACATTATCGCAAGCGTATCCAGGCTCAATTACCTGATCGAGGACATCTGAAAACTGTCTAAGTTTACTGAGTTCCACCAAATTCAGCCAGGTCATGTCCAGGATCCATTTAGATGGTTTAGGGGGACAGGCTTTAAGGTCCAGCGAGGCACCACCTTTAACATTAAGCACAAGTTAGTTGATCTCTTCTTGCTTTACTATAAAGCAATCTATTCAGAAGCATGTGCTGTAATTATTTTCATGTCAATTATTTTACTACTTTGACATGTATTAAGCCCAGAAATAGAGATGAGCATAGAGATGAGCAAGCTGTAAAATCCAATCAAGTTATAAAGGACCTTAGAAAAAAACACATTCAGGTTTCAGTAATAGAGGCTTGGAGCCTGGGGTCACCGGCTCAGGTCTGGAAAGAGCCAGCTAGCGGATCTGACCTTGTTTACAAATACGGGAAGTGGCCAAGGTAGACCTTGGTGGCCTAGGATGACAGAGTGACAGACATGCATGTGCAAAGCACACAAAACAGCATCACAAACAAAAGAACCTCTCTAAACGGGAAGCTATGGTTGATACGAACTACCCAGCCTTGGGCCTCCCCGGTGGCACAGGGGTTAAGGTCTCAGCACTATCAATCTATTATCAGCCTCTATGGCCTGAGTTCTATCCCGGGTCAGGGAGTGACCCACATGGCTCACTTGTCTCCCCCCTGCTCCCCTCAGCGGTATGCTTCAGTAGACCCACCTGTTCTGCTCCCCACTCTGTCTCTGGTGAATCCTCCCAACCTCCCACACCTCTGGCCTGTACCCCAGCTCTTGTATGCATAAATAAATAAAAATAAATCTTAAAAAAAATACCCAGCATTGGCAAATGGAAGTTCTCGTTGCAAGAAGAACATTCATCTGGAAATGTGGGGCCCAGTGCGTGCCCGCTTCTCAGAGTCAAGCAGTTGTTCACTCCCTGCGCTGTCACTGACCTTCCCTCAACCACTTCCATCCAGTACAGTTCCCTTTCTCTGGTGGTTTACCTACACTAACGTGACTCATGGTGTCCTCCAGCCCCACAAAATGAATGACACCTTCAAAATATTGTTGTTGCTCATCCCCCTCGGAGGACCAAACGTGTGAACCATGATGTTTTATGTCAAAGAAAGAGCTGGTGAAACTTCTATAGGATAAAATACACTGTTTAATAAATAGCTTCTACTTTAGTGTTCAGAGAAAATCTGCATAACTCTTCAAAGGATATAACTAAGGCACCTGGCTACATTCAAAGTCCTTTTTGTTGACAGAACAGATCGTGATCAAGTGACATTCCTGATGTTTCTGGGGCCAATCTCGGCCTTACCTGGGCACCACTGACTACACTAAGTTGCTCTCTTTGCCAAATCCATCTTAGTCTATTTCCAACAAAGGTAGTGCAGCCTTGAAGCCATTTTGATGAAAAGACTAGCTTACAAAAGCACATGGATGATTTTACTGTCAGGGAGCAGTTCAGACCCAAGGACCAAAGATTTGTGTCGGGCAATGTCATACCAGTTTTTATGGAAACTCCATTGTCCAACAAACTGAAAAGAATCAAATATTCACCAGACGGTTAGAACAAATCCCAGTGGAGTGAGCTGCCCCGCCCCTCACCCTGCCCCAGTCACCTGGTCCCACGCCTGCATCCCACCAGGCCCCTGCACAAGCCCTCGCCAGCCCAGCACCCACCCCGACACTCCTCCCCTCCCTGACCCAGACCCCACAGACCACTGCTCCCCATAGACCACTGTTCCCTCAATGACAGGGGCCTTTGGTACTGCCAATCACTTTTAGGGAGGCTCCCCTACTTGTTTTTAAAAGATTATTCATGCATACAGAACTGGGTTACAGGCCAGAGGTGCAGGGGCAGTGAGAGGCTTCACCAGAGACAGAGTGGGGAGCAGAACAGGCCGATCCACGAAGTCCACTGCTGAGGGGAGCAGCAGGCAGGCCAGGAGAGGTCTGCCACACCCTGTGGGTCACCTTCAGGGCCAGAAGCCCCCCGACTTTTTAAGCCTCCTCACTCCACGTGCCCTTTAACTCCTATGCCCCTCACCCTGCTGTTCTCTCCATAATGTGACAAGATGTTCACGTACTACATAACTGACCTGCTTCAATATTTTCTTCTGTGCCACCCCCAAAGTACATAAGCTTCACAAGGGCAGAGCAACTTATTTTGTTCACTGATATGCCCCAAGTGCCAATTCTACATCTTGACACACAGTAGCGTCTTAATAAATATTCATGCAAACACTGAACAAATGAAAGCGCTCACATAATGTAATCTTCAGTGAAATGCAAGCCACTGTTAGCATCAGAACAAAACACAGCTACACCTGCACCCATGTGGAAAGGGTCCTATGATGTAGTGACCTTTAATCAGGGTGAGAAACTCCTCATGCTTGACTCGATTCCTCTGGATGTCAATCTTTAGGGTGAGCAACAAGGTGAACAGAAACTTGTGTTCTTCGTACAGCGTGCGGGCTGCATACTTATAAACCTCGTAGGTCATGTGCTCGATGATGTTAGCAATCCTCTTGCTGGTGATGGGGCTCTTCACAGACCTGGGGAGACATTTACATCAGCTCACCCTGCTGCCTCTCCATGGGCATGAAAACAACACCTTGAACAGAGAGGACAGTTTAACTTTGAGGGCCAGCTCTTATTTTTACACATCAAGAGAAAGCCTCCTCAATCTAAAATAACAAGCATTCTCCCCACATGAAATAATGCAACAGACGCCTCAGTGCTGTCTAAAACAGTTTTAGCTGAAGGGCTTGATCATTGCCAATTCTGTTGTTTAACACCAAGACAAATGCTACAGGGTTCACTCAGTGGGTGAAGAGTGGGCATACGTGCCTCTGGCACAACATGACGAATCACAATGACCTGTGGTCACACTGGTCATGAGCTAATCTTAGCTTTCATTTTTTTTTTTTTTTGAAGGCTGCTCTAGCCCTTTTTTATTTTAATTTTTTAATATTATTTATTCTGCATACAGAACTGGCATATAGTCCAGAGGCTCAGCGGCTGTGAGAGAGTCCACCAGAGACCGAGTGGGGAGCAGAACAGGCAGACCGACGAAGTCCACTGCTGAGGGGAGCGGCGGGCAGGTCAGGAGAGGTCTGCGGCGCCATGTGGGTCACCTCGGGGCAGGGATCGAACTCATGCTGAAGTGACTGCAGCCAGCTTGCCACACAGCGCTCCAAACCGCACCGCCACCAGGGAGGACCCACTTTCAATTTTAAGAAAGACTTTTGGTAGCAAAGGAGACGGCAGTGACAAAGGTCACGTCACCACCCAGCCCTCAGCCCGGCTCCCTGGGCCCGGACGTACCTGGCCAACGAAAGGTCAAACAAGCCCAGGAACTGGCGGAGCGAAGTCTGATACATCTCGTTCACCAAGCGCATGTCGGTGACGAGGAAATAGAGGACGCTGCCCCGGGTGGCAACTGGAAGGCAAACGGACGGGTTACACAGGCCTGGCCGCCAGGGCTGTGCAGCATGCGCAGCGGCCTGGAGCCCACAGGAGACGAGCTTTCTTCCCGTTTTCTCACTGGCCGCCACGGTGGGGGTGGGGGCGCCGGTGGAGGGGAGGGCTGGGGGTGGGGGGAATAGTGTTTCCATTGTTTTTCCAGGAGGAATGCTTGTTTGTGGACGGTTCACTCTGCCTGACATGCTTGGGGTGAGTCTTCTACGTGGGTGTCTCAAACAGCAGTTCCCACTCTCAGCTCTCTAGATACCCAGAAATACATTTCACTGTGTTTTCTCACACGGAGAGAAGACAGCTAATGAGACAGCAAAGGCAGCGGCCCCCAGAGAGGTGTGCAGGTGCAATAACAACCTTGTTCTCATGCTCCAAGAGTCCTCTCTACCTAACCTTGACCCCAGGTTGGCAAAGCAAGTCATCACCAAGGTGACTCTGCTAACTGGGTGTGTGTGTTTGTGACAGGGGTGACAATGTTTCCACTGTTTTTCCAGGAGGAATGGTAAATCACTAACAGAATTGAATTCTTTCCGGGGCGGGGTTGCCTTTTATGACCAGTGAACGCTCCAATGAGTGGATACTACACGCACCACTAAGAGAACACCACTGAGTGGTGGCATCACTCAGTGTTCACGGTCAGCTGTGCTTGAAAATCCTCCCTCTTTATTTTCTAGTTGAAAAGGAAGTTTAGGGGCTTTCCACCTGACTTGAGTCAAAAGCATCTAGAAAATTCACACCACCATCAAGCTTCTTCATCTCGATTATTCTATTCCCCCGAGACATGGCACAGAACATACAACGGGCCACCCCATTTCGACCACTTATTCACATAAAGCCCTCCCTTCCTCCCGTTAGAGAAATTCTCTAATGCTCGTTTCTTTCTCTCTTCAATTTACTGTGACATTTGTCTTTCATTACCACACTCACCAGGTCTGTATTCCTCCCGGGCGGAGTTAATTTGAATTTCTGTCTCAGCTGAAATTTCCAGCTTCTGTGTCACGTCTTCGGCTGTCTTTTTTGTGTTACTTAGAACAACAATCAGACTCTCGTCTTCCACCAGGGACCCCTGAGTACTCGTCAGGCGGAAAAGCAAATTATCTTCCAGCTCCTTCATTCTTCTTTTGTTTGCAGTCACTTCTTCCATGAGACGAGTTCTTTCTTTCTCCAATTCCTGTAAGTTTGCATAAATACATTTCTACCTTAATTAAGCGCTATCATTTAGGCCATTCTTCAAAATCTGAATCTAGCTGTCCACTCTCAAGCTCCTGCACATCTTCGTTCTATTTACCAAATATATGAACACCAAAACGAGAGACTTCAGGAAAGAAAGAGGACTCAGAAAATGATGTGAAGTTTGCTGAACATACATCCCTGGGCTCCCTGGACCATTTCTGTATTCCCTAAAGCCCAGTCATTTTAGGTGACCTTTCTGGTGACATCTAAGCCTTCTGGAAGAAGAAATACATGTGAAAATATACCCAAATATATTTGAAGACAGATCTACTTGCCTCAGATTAAACATTTTCTTCTCTCTGTCTCTTTCTTTTCAAAGGGGCACTGTTGTGTGACCATGATTATTTGCATCTTGTTGCCAGAAACAGCATCCAGTTCCGTGAAAAGCAACTATCTGCGAGCTTGGGCAGGCAGCCTGTGCTGCTACCGTAGGGACATTCTTTTACTTTTTTTTAATTGTATTTGTTAGCGAGGAGGCATTGGCTCACAGCACTGTATGTGATTAGGGGTACAGGTCACGCCTCTTCGGTGGCTATTACCAACCCCAACCGCCACCAAAGCACCCGGGGTCCACCCTCGACCCTTAGGCACTCTTGCTCCTCCCTATCCCAGCATCCTGTCTGGGACGCTCACTTCTGCGGGTCATTTGCAGGGCTCGTTTCGATTTCGTGTTTCTTCACGGGCATCTGTACGTGAAAGCTCCCCGTATTTGGTCTTTCTCCTTCTGACTTATTTCACTCAGCAAAAGCCTCTCCAGTTCCACCCACGTTGCCACAAATACCAACATTTCATTTTTTATTTATTTATTTATTCATACAGAACTGGGGTACAGGCCAGAGATGCGGAGGGTGAGAGGCTTCACCAGAGACAGAGTGGGGAGCAGAACAGGCAGATGGACGAAGTACACTGCTGAGGGGAGCAGCGGGCAGGTCAGGAGAGGTCTGCCGCGCCCTGTGATCACCTCCGGGGCAGGCGGGGATCGAACTCATGCGGAAGTGGCTTTAGCTTCTCAGTGCTGTGCTTTAACCCGCTGCGCCACCAGGGAGGGCCCCAACATTTCATTTTTTAATAGCCACTTAGTATTTCCTTGTCTATCTGTCCCACATCTTTATCTAATCATCGTCATCAGGTCTGTGTTTCTGCAGAGAGGTTACTGCAAGCAGGGCTGCCATGACGTGGTGTTTCTGCAGACGCATTTCAACTGAAAACTCACCTTGCGCTAAAAGGTGCTGTTCTCGGCCCTCCCTGCAATGGGTTAACGCGCAGCACTGTGGCACTATCACAGTCACTGCAGCATGGGTTCGATCCTGGGCCAGGAAGTTTCCCCCCCCCCTCCCCATGGGCTCCTGTCTCCCCACTGCTCCCCTCAGCAGTGTGTTTCAGTGGATCTGTCTGTTCTGCTCCCCACTCTGTCTCTGATGAATCCTCTCACTGCCTGTACCTCTGGCCTGCACCCAGGCATAAACAAATAAAAATTAAAAAATACAAAACATACTCCAAGAGAAGTGAAGTTCTCAGTCTTTCCTGCAGGACCTTACAGGCGCGGAGGGTGGGGCCTGGGCGCTCACACCCCACATGCCCAGCAGGGGGCGACTCCCTCCACCGCCACCCCCACCGCGGCTGCTGCCTCCACTTCAGGCCCCTGCACTAGGGGCAGCAGGGCCAGAAACCGCTGCTGCACTCAGCTTCCAGGCACGGCCACGCCAAGCCAGCCATGCCCCGCATTATGCAACACAACCCCGCTTCACCAGGCCCCTCATCTGGCCTCTGAAGCCCGGTCTTCATTTAGCTCGAGCCACGTGTGGCAGGCCCTGATCAGCAGCTCTCAGCAGGCTGGCGCAGGACCCAGTAATCCACTCCCAACACTTTTCCTGGGTCCTCGAGTGGGCGGTGGGTCCTCGAGTGGGTGGTGGGTCCTCGAGTGGGCGGTGGGTCCTCGAGTGG